TATATATCTGCTTGTTTGCCATGCTCATATACAATAAGGTGCCAGTAAGAAGGACACTCGGACACTCTTCACATTGACCACCTGGGGTTATTTGTTCAGAGCACGAAAAGTAACTCTTACCTCATTGTAGCAATAGATGCTTTTGCAAAGTTTGTACACGCTAAACCACGAAACGGAAACCGGCGGTGATAACAGTGATAACGTTTTTGGAGAGTATATTTTACCTTTTCGGTATTCCAAGACGAATAATCTAAGATAAAGGTTTCTGTTTCACAAGTGGTGTATTTCAAGATTTTGTAAAGGACCTGGGTATTAAATTGGTTTTAAATGCCACAGCGACTCCACGAGCTAACGGGCAGGTGGAAAAGGTATAATGAATAGAACTCTATTGAATGCCATCACTACTTCTCACGATGATGAGAGAAAATGGGATGCGTCACTGAGTTCTATTGTGTTTGGAATTAACTCGGCCGTAAGAAATAGCTCTACTGAGAAGAGTCCCTACGAACTATTGGTTGGGTATAAGCCAAGGGCCATGAGTGATTCATTACTGAGCATAGGTGTAGTAGATGATGCAGTAGAGAAAGTTACTGCCTAAGTTTACTGGTCCTTACCAGGTTACTAAGGTTTGAAGGTTTTGGATCATGAACGATATATAGTAGAGGATTTTCTAGGCTCAAAACGTGCAACACAGAAAATTTATAAACGGGTTAGCGCAGCTGACCGCATGAAACCATTTTTACCTGCTTTTGAAAGTAGTAGTGAATCCAGTGGCGGATACAGTGGGGGGCAGGGGAAGCAAGACCATATTTTAAGTTTTAAGAATGTTTAGAAAGCTGGAAACCTATAAAAATATCACACTTTTGTCTTTGTCCCAAGAACTTTAACCTCAAACAGTATATCATTATTGGTTGAGTTGATGTATTGTTTTTTTATTGTTCTAATAAATAAATATTCACACAAAATCAATAAGAATATGTACAGGGTGATGTTTTTTTATATATTGACATCCCACCTACAGCCTTTACCTTTATAGGTAGATGAAAGGTGTAAATACAAAAGTTGTACAGTATTGGCTGAATTTTTAAAATCCATGGTCAAAAACAAAAATCGAATGTCAGAAATGTGAAATATTGCACGCTTTCAGCTTTTTTCAATTGGGATGCGATATATTTGGTTCTATATTCTTAAAGAACAAAATTTCCCGATTCCAAAACTATATAGTTTGTCTATATTTGGTTGAGCCGTCTCCAACATATGTATTTGGTTCTAAAAATTTTAAAAATATACTATCAGAGAAACCATGAAACCAACCACCTAAAATTTTACCTGCAGCTTTCACCTGTATAGGGAGAATGGTTCACAAAATCACTAGTGATAGTATTTTTACAATTTTTGCAGCTAAATATATGAGAGATTGCTCAATCAAATATAGGTCGGTGCATTGTGCTTTTCAAGAATATAGACCAAATATAGGGCATCCCATTTGAAAAAAGCTGGAAGCATGCAAAATTTCACATTTCTGACATTCAAATTTTGTTTCTGACCATGGTTTCTAAAAATTCAACCAAAACTGTACAACTTTTGTACATAGGTACACCTTTTTTCTACCTGTGAAGGTAAAGGCTGTAGGTGGGGTGTCAATATTTAAAAAAACACCCTGTACAAATAAGTGGATTATTGCGGAACTTATGGGTGGACCTCTGCGAGACGGGCGCAGCGAGTTCCGCAGTCATCTACTAACCAATATACTATTGAACTGTTCAAATAAGACACTCACCTGAAATGTGTAGTTTTTGAACTACTTAATGAAAAAAATTCTCAACTGAGTAAATCAGGTTAGTATTGTACGTATTTGTTTTCCCAGAAGTCCCAGACATAAATATGAAGCAAATAATTTGTCGTCTAAAGCCAAGTGTCATCAAACGAGGGAGGCGCGTTTTTCCTATCGAAGTCTAGTGACGTAAATACTAATTATCTACTCTTAAGTATTATTCCGTTTATATTAGTTTTAAGAATTGATTTATAGAGAAACATGTTTATTTCTTGTTATTTGTTATAGAAATGTCTCTTATTTTGTTTTTAAGAAAATTGAATTTAGTTTTTTACAGTTTTTCGATAAATAAACTATATTTAAAACAATATTTTGTTTTTTCTATGAAAATTTATATTGTAGATAGGTTTACTACCTTTTAAAAAACGTATTTTTTGTCCCAAGTCATTCTTTTGGCTTGGAACATGAGTAAAACCTTGAAATAAATAGTGGTCTCAAATCACCCACCCTATAGCGTCTAACATGAGACAGTCAAAAAAACAAAAAAAAACCAGGGTAACTCATTATTCACATAAAATTCAACTTATAAAACCGATTCTACGGGTCAAGACTCAACTTTTGACGTGTTTAAGTCATCGCTAAGTTAAATAGTTTCAAAAATATCGCTTGTTGAAAGTCAAAATCGTCTCAAGTCACCCGACTTTACGGTACTTGAACAACATATTGGTGAATAGATGGCTGAGTCCACCCATAAGTTCCGCAACAATTCACTCGTTTGTACTTGAATAACTTGTCACAATATATTACTAGTTTGGTAAAGTAACATTACTAATTCCTGTTAAAAGGCAAATTGACAAAGAGTGGATAATCTTACAAATTCTGACTTTATATTGTCACAACTGCCCGCTTTACGGGGGTGACATGGGGGGTTTGTAGCTTTGGGGGTTGATGGAGAGAAACTCGCTCAGGTTATATAAAAATATAGATATATATTTTCCCAAATATAACCTTACATGTACGCTAATCCTATAAGGTACATGACCCTTCGTACACTGGGGTCCTTATAGGGGGCCACACGTCAATTCTGCTTGGGGGACTGTAGATAAGTTTATCGTCACCCTTATGCCTTGTCCAGAGGGGCGTTCCCAACGAGAGGTAATTGCACTGGACAACGATAAGGCTGAAGATACCCAGAGGGGCGTTCCCAACGAGAGGTACTTGCACTGGGGAGACTTAATTCCAGAGGGGCTTTTCCAACGAGAGGTACTTGCACTGGTTTAAGTCTGCCTTTGCTGCGGCTTGCAGCGCAATTTATATTAATTTATTGCTGAATTGCAATAAATATTCGATCGAATCGGCAATTAAATTAATAAGGTTGAATACCGGGTCCTCCTTTCCCAAGCAGCTAGTTGACAATATAATAAGTTATTGTTTAAGTACAAATGAGTGGATTATTGCAGAACTTGAGCGGACCTATGCGGGACGAGCGCAGCGAGTTTCACAGCCATCTAGTCACCAATATACTAATGAACTTTTCAAGTAAGACATTCACCTGAAAGATATAATTTTTAAATTAATGAGAATAACGCACATTTGAGTGAGTCAGTATCGTAATTAAACAACATACCTATTGATGAATAGATGGCTGCGGAACTCGCTGCTCTCGTCCCGCAGAGGTTAACCCATAAATTTTGCAACAATCCACCCATTTGTACTTGAATAACTTGTCCCAGTTTGGTAAAGTAACATTACTAATTCCTGTTGAAAGGCAAATTGACAAAAAGTGGATAATCTTACAAATTCTGATTTTATATAATAAGTTATTGTTCAAGTACAGGGTGTTTTTTCATATATTGATACCCCACCTACAGCCTTCACCTTTGCAACTAGATAAAAGGTGTAAATACAAAAGTTCTATAGTATTGGCTAAATTTTTAGAATCCATGGTCAGAAACCAAAATTGAATGTCAGAAATCTGAAATGTTGCATATGCTTTCAGCTTTTTTTAAATGGGATGCCTTATTGGGCTATATATTCTTGAAGAGCACAATTTCCCGATTCCAAAACTTATAGTTCATCTATATTTGGTTGAGCCGTCTTCAACATGTTTGGTTCCAAAAATTTTAAAAATACTAGCAGAGAAACCAAGTACCTCAAATTTTACCTTTCACCTGTGTATAGGTCGAATGGTTCACAAAATGAGTAGTAGAATAGTATTTTTTAAATTTTGGAGCCGAATATATGAGAGACTGTTCAATCAAATATAGACAAACTATATATTTTTGGAATCGGGGCATTGTGCTCTTCAAGAGTATAGAATGAAATATAGGGCATCCCATTCGAAAAAAGCTGGAAGCATGCAAAATTTCACATTTCTGACATTTAAATTTTGTTTCTGACCATGGTTTCTAAAAATTCAGCCAAAATTGTACAACTTTTGTACTTCACCTTTCTTTTACCTGTAAAGGTAGAGGCTGTAAGGTGTATCAATATATAGAAAAACACCCTGTACCTACCTATTTAAAATTTTAAAATCACCTTATTCTCCTAAATAATTCCCCCATTCCCATATTTTTAAAGGACATTCTTTCGAAAAACCGTATCTTGCACAATGCGCTGTCAAAACTAACCCAATAGAGCTTACTTTAACTTAAACTGCCTCCCTCCCCTTTCAAAAGGCCTGTATCCGCCCCTGACTGAATCTGAGTCTGAAAAGATTTCAGAAATTGGGTCTACACCTATCTGATAAACGTCTCATTTGGGTTGCGTTGTAGTTATACATATTTTACAGTTGATTTAGTTTTATGTGTAAAAATGTTGAGGTAACAGATATTATCAAAGACTGGCCATCAACGACAATATCTAACCCACTCTTTAGTAGGTATCTTTTGCATTATATTGAATGTTTTCTTTTTGTATTAATTTTCAGGGCGAGTGAAGATATTTTTTCCCGGATAAAAAATGAAGTAGCATGGTCGACTGTAAAAGAAATCACCTAATTTCTGGTAACAAATAAAAGGAAAAGTTACATAAACTAAGCGATGATTCACAAAGGATAAACACATCACTTTTTCGGCTACAGCTAGCAAAGTTGTATCATTGTTTTGCAGATTAAAATTACATTGATTATGTTATACTATTAATTAAATTCTGTTTATTAGTTAAATGTCGTTTTATGAAAAACATTTTTACAATAATTATTCTAATCAAAATAAAACTCAAAAACTCTCGATATTAATAATCTAAATCATATATTTATATATAAATATACAATAATATTAGTACAGATATAATTCTCCTTAAGTGCACAAAATTGAATTTATATAAAATTAATCAATCAACGAGTTCCTTAATAACTATACAACATAAAAAAAAAGAATATTTCGTCCTTCTTAGGAGGATATTTTATAAAAACCCAACTTTGTATAACATAATTTTTTTGTAAAACACCCTCAAAAGACTAATAATTATATAAAGAAACTTTTTCTCTTGCTAAACATTTACTAAACAGTAACAATCTAGTTATTATATACAAAATGCTTTTTGTTTGACAATTTATACAAAAGACTTCCTCACAATTTTAAGCTGAAAAGATTGTCCATATATTTTTTTTTGATATCTTTTGATTGAAGTTTGGAAGCGGTAGTTTCATAAAAATGAAGAGTCAAAGAGGAATTGAGGAATTTAGTACTGAGCAAATTTTTGTCTTCATTTTTATGGTCAAAATTATAAAAATTTATATTGTGTCAAACAGCTTTAATTTTGTTTTTTTGCATAAAATTATCAATATGGACATAACAATAATAAGTATTTAAAAATTCTAAAAGAAATGCCAAAAAAAAAAACCTATTCACTTTCACTCCTACAAATCTTATTATAAATTATTTATATTCACAAAATACACTGTTTATTTTGCAAATTGATTCCTTCAGGCAGTGTATTTTCACTTTATTAAACCCTTATTTATTACTCTAGAATAATAATTTCTTTTTTATAATAATTATTATGAGTTATGTACAAAAAAAAATTACATAATATAACAAAATTTGACTTAAAACTCTTTCAATAATAATAATAATAATAATAATAAATTTTGTGACACGTTTTTGTACAATAAAAAAAAAAACAAACTAAAATTTGATTTTAGCTGCCTTTGCAATATGTTGGACTGCAGTGGTGGGTCCCAAAAATAAGCACAACTGGAAGATTTAACGTTTGATAGGTCTCAAATTAATCCAGAAACATTTCTGTATATTCTCTACAAGCTTCTACAACAAATCAAGAAACATTCTGCTATGCCTTTCTTGGTAGTTTATATTTTCTCACAATTGCCCCTATTTTTGGGACTTTTCTTACACTGCATGGCAACTTAAAAATCATTCATCGCCATTTAATCATCTTTTGGCGATGTGGCATTAGATTTCGACTCTTCTGCCTCATTACCTTCAGTCTTTTTGTCACTCAAACTTTTCCTCAACTCGTCAACAGCCGATCCCGTATAAAGTCGTTTTATACCTCGAGGCAAGGCTCTACACGATTGCAAATTAATTGAGTGCAAATTTGGGCACTTGGTGAGCACTGCTTTAATTGGTTCCAGAGACACTGATGAACCGCAAAGATTGAGGTTCCTAGAAAACAAAGTTTTCCAAGAGTTGATCAAATCTTGTAGAAAAATTCTTACCTCAATTTCGATTCTGGTCCTTTTTCTGCCAAAGCCATAACAGCAGCATCCAATGAAGTTGTAGCCGTGGACCAAGCCAAATCAACTTCCAATAAGCTGTGGCTCCATTTCTGGATAATCATTTCCAGCCCGGAATTTTGTAATCTTGTAATGTAACAGGCTAAAAAATGGGCACTTGAATAAATTGAATTTGCAAAAATAAAATAAATCGTACCACTTAAGAACAAGTGTTCTAAATCCCAAGCGGGTACGCCTCTGACCAGGCCAGAGTCGGTTAGTTTGCTGCACCCTCTGACGTCCAAAAGGCGCAATTTTGTACTTGTTTTTAGGAGTCTTTCGATGCCTTCATCGTCCATAGACCTACAACAAAAAATACAATTTAATTAAAAAATATTGCCAATTAATAATGCAATTACCTTGAAGTTGTTGTTTGGTCTTCTTCCAAGCCAGCTAAAGATAACTCTTCAAGATTTGGAAAGCCAGGAGAAGCAACCTAAATTGAATGATAATTTATTGTTTCATTTGAAAAATAATGATAATTCTTACTTGTTCTGAAAGTGCAACAGGTGCCAACCAAATTTGACTATTGGTTATCCGTAAAACTCTCATTTTTGGACAACCCGTTTGCAGTTTTTCCACGTGTAATAAGGCCGTATTGTGCGCAAAAGTTTTAATATTTGATATGTCCAACAGCTGAAGGTTGGGACAATGAGCCTAAGAATGCAATTTTCAATTAATTTGTCAAAAAAACATTATCAAATTCTTACAGCTAATGCAGAAATAATCTGCATAAACCCGGCAATTTTATTGTGAGCCAGCACCAAGTGGGTCAACCGGGTGTTCATCGTTTGACTTAGGGTCACCAAGGGTTGGGCATTTAAAGCTGACGTAGACTAGAAAATTATGAAAATTAATTTGAAATTCTTCAAACAAGTATTGAACTTACATTTATTGAAGAAAGGTCCAGCCTCTCCAAACTCTTAGCTTCTGTGGTCAGATATTTAAGATTGTCAGCGTTTAAGCCCTTCCAGCCACTTAAATTTAGACCACGCAGTTTGGTACAATGTTCACAGATTGCTTCTAGGACTGCTTGAATGTCTCTAACTTTCCATTCACCTGAAAAATAATAAAATAATCTGTTTTTGTCTGGAAAGTGAGTTTCTAAGCTGTTGAATCCTGTAACTTTACTTTGTCAATGAAATTAGTGCATGTAGTGGAGAGTAGAAGTTTATCAATTGCTCATTACATATAAACCAAACTGTATATTTTACCAATTTCCCATGAAAAGATAGGAAATGTCACAAAAAATGAAGGTAGCATCCCAAAAATTGCTCTAAATAAAAATATTTACCCATACTGATGTCTTCACATTCAGTAAGCCTATTCAAAATTAACCAGTGCAACCGAAGATCAGTCCTGTTTTTTTCCTTGACATAATTCAAATCGGCCTTTTTCCACAGCGATGGCTTTACTGAAATGTCTCGCCACAATTTACAAACTTTACACAGCCTAAAAACAGAAATTCCATAGAAAACATACAAACAATCAATGGACAATTCTTACCTGACCAAAGTTGGTAAAGCGCCATCGTGAGCAACTGTCCCATCAAAAATCTTCACCAAAACTTTTTCGGGTATTTTAGAAGCATTCCCCCACACGCTTTGCTCTAAAGGTTCATCGTTTTGCGTACTGGTAACATCGTTATCTGTTGTGGCACTGGTACGGCTCCTTTTGGGTTTCTTTTCATAATCTGAATTGTCAGTGTCATAGGCTTTATGCTTTTTCCGTCGACCAGCTTTCTTTTTGTTTGGTGCAAGCTAAAATAAATAATTAGACAATAAACTAAAACTCATTTGATTACTTACAGGCTGTATATGACCCATATTGCTCTTCTTAATTCTGATTTTGATGGCGTTTTTATCACCACTGATTTGGCTATGATACATAGTGACCAAAGCTTTTGCAGGTCTGCCCCGTCCAGGCCCACTAGAAATCTTTTTTTTTCTGGTCTTCTTCAAATTCAAATTGCCATTGTTATGCACTTCTGGTACATAAACATCATCACTTTGTGATAAATTATCTACCTCCTCTTCTGTATCAATCCTTTCTGAAGTTGTTTGTGGCTCTTGACTCGATTCCGTTGCACTACTATTATTAGTGTCTTCAGATTGACTCAAAGAACTATCAAGCTCTTTTAAATTATGAGTCCTATCTCCACTAACACACTCTTCACTTTCACAAGACGCTTCAGGGTCCATTGGGGCGTTTTCATTGTCGCACACATTATTGTTGGGAAGATAATCGAAATTGTTCATTGCACCGTTCAACAGACAATCCCTGAGGTCCAGCTCTTGGGATCGCAGGTTCGTTTTGACAATGTTGTTGGAACAGGGCGAACTTAAAGCTGAACTACCTGTACTGGTGCCACCAGTATCTGGCATTGGCGGTACAGGGTTGTAGCATTCCATTTTGGACAGTTGTAGATGGAATTAGGTGGCGGTTACCATTTACATTATGAGTTCATGGTTATTTTTTTTGGGGAAATTGGTGCTTATGCTAGAAAGAAAACAGAAAAAGTTTGAAAACACCAAATCTAGAGGTTTTTTTAAATGAAAAATGTGCTCAATAACTAATTAAATTGAATAATATGGGAAAAGGAGGAAAGAAATAGAAAGCAATTTACACTATTTTCTTATTTCAGAAGTATAATCGAACTAGTAAACAATTACAATCCAGCATGTTATATATTTCATTACTTTACTATTTACTGTGTTCCCTATATTTATGTACCTGTATGTTGTATGTCATGTTGTCAGTTATTGTCAGAAAATACTGTATTGAATTTTAGCTTATTAAAGCCTTAATTCTAAAGGTTCTTTTACTACAATTTAATAAGCTAATAATTACCCAATCAATGGACAAATTACTCAAGCCAGAACGACTAGAAATTGACACACATTCAAACAATGCTAGCCAGTTATGGATCCACTGGAAACGAACGTTTGAGAACTTTTTAGAAGCTGCCAAAATATCAGAAGATAAGGACAAATTAAACCTTCTAGTAAACTATGTGAGTTCTTCAGTTTATCAGTCTATTAGTGAATGTATTTCCTACATAGAAGCAGTCGCCATACTCGAAAAGTTATATGTAAAAACACAGAGTGAAATTTTTGCCCGTCATACTTTATCCACTAGAAAACAGCAAGTAAGTGAATCTATAGACCAGTACTTACAAATTCTGATACAATTAAGTAAGGACTGTAATTTCAAAGCAGTCACTGCTGAACAGAATAAAAATGACTACATAAGAGATTCATTTATTAGTGGTCTGGCCACATCTCACATTAGGCAAAGACTTCTAGAACATACGACTCTGAACTTAGAAGAAGCACATAAATCAGCTAGGTCTTTAGAAATGGCCCAACAACAGTCAGAATCTTATACCTCAAATTCGTACGTCAATTCAATTGTAGCAAATCAATCATCGACTTATGTTCAACAATCAAATGAACAAATGGATACAACACTTGCCGTAATTACATCAAAATGTTATTTTTGTGGAAGAAACAGACACTCTAGAGATAAATGTCCAGCAAGAGATGCAACCTGTCATTCCTGTGGAAAAATTGGTCATTTCACACAAGTATGTAGATCAAAATATCAAAAACAATCTCATTATTCAAATAAAACCTCAGCTGCTATGATTGGAATGATGTCAGCAGCCTCAACATCTTGTTTATCGAAAGCTATTATTAAAATTGAAGTCAATCATATTCCAACTGATGCATTAATTGATACTGGAAGTTCGGACAGTTATATCTCAAAAACTGTCACCACACAGAGACGTATCAAAGTGTTTCCTACGAATCTCAATGTCACAATGGCTGCTTCATCTTTAAATTCTCCTGTTTGTGGATACTGTATTGTGATTTTGAAAATATCAGATCATGTGTACAAAAATATCAAGTTTTACGTGATGGAAAATCTCTGTTCTGAAGTTATAATTGGACATGATATTCTTCAAAATCATTCTGGAGTAGAATTCAATTTTGGTGGAAATCAATCAAAACTTTCTATCTGTAATCTAGTAACAGCAAATATTCAACCTTATCCGCTGTTCGCGAATTTAACAGACAATTGCCAGCCTATTGCTATTAAATCTAGACGGTTTTCTAATGATGACTACAGATTTATACAAACAGAAATACAAAGATTATTGAAAGAAAACATCATTGAACCAAGTAATTCACCGTGGAGAGCACAAGTATTGGTTGCAAGTAACGTAAATCATAAGAAACGCATGGTTGTTGATTACTCGTTGACAATCAACAAGTTCACTTTATTAGATGCATATCCACTACCTAATATTGATAGAATTATTAGCCAAGTTTCGCAATATGAATATTTTAGTTCTATAGACTTACGTAGTGCGTACCATCAAATACCTATTTTGGAAAGTGAGCGAATTTACACTGGCTTTGAAGCATGTAACAACTTGTATCAATTCACAAGAATTCCATTTGGTGTCACAAATGGAGTAGCATGTTTTCAACGTATAATTAACAATATCATAGATAATGAAAGACTATCTGATACATATGCATTTTTGGATGACGTTACAATATGTGGAAAAACAAAAGAAGAACATGACAAAAACTTAGAGAAATTTATGAATATTACAAGAAAGTATAATCTAACATTAAACGATGAGAAATGCAAATTTTCAATGACAACTATCAATATTCTTGGATATACAATAGAAAAAAAAACCATAAAACCAGATGCGGATAGACTACAGCCATTAATCAATTTAGCAGCCCCTACAAATGTTGCTTCTCTCAGAAGAGTACAAGGTATGTTTGCACACTACTCAAAATTTATATACAAATTTTCTGAAAAGATACATCCCATTGTAAACGTGAAAACTTTTCCCATGAACAGAGAACAAATTCATGCATTTGAAAGGCTGAAACAAGATATTATTGATGCAGTTGTAATATTCATCGACGAAAAGGTTCCATTTACAGTAGAAACAGATGCTTCTGATTTTGCTATTGGTGCTCAACTGACACAAAATGGTAAACCTGTCGCATTTTTCTCAAGAACCTTAACAAAAATAGAACAAAATCATTCCAGTATAGAAAAAGAAGCATACGCAATAATCGAAGCTATAAGAAAATGGAGGCATTATTTAATGGGACGACATTTCAGTATAATAACTGATCAAAGATCCGTTGCATTTATGTTTGATAATAAGAGTTCATCAAAAATCAAAAATGAGAAAATATTGCGTTGGAAAATAGAATTATCATGTTACAAATTTGATATTATATACAGGCCAGGAAATCAAAACATTGTAGCTGACACACTTTCCAGGATATCTGCTGCTATTCAACCATCAACATCAGACAAAACTTTGTATAATTTACACAACGCGATGTGTCATCCTGGTGTCACAAGATTCTATCATTGGATTAGATGCAAAAATTTACCTTATTCACTAGAAGACATCAAAAGAGTTATATCCGCATGTCCGGTTTGTGCAGAGATAAAGCCGAGATTTCATAAAAACAAAGGAACTCTTATCAAAGCCATAGCACCATTCGAAAGATTAAACATTGATTTTAAAGGACCGTTACCTTCCAATAATAGAAACAAATACTTACTAGACATTGTAGATGAATATTCAAGATTTCCGTTTGCATTTCCATGTTCGGATATGTCATCTGCAACGGTAATAAACTGTTTGACTCAACTATTCTCAATGTTTGGCACACCAGGTTATATTCACAGCGATAGAGGAGCATCTTTTTTATCTGCTGATGTGAAATCATTTTTAACAAGTCATGGTGTTGCCACAAGTCGTACAACTGTGTACAATCCAGAGGGAAATGGACAATGTGAAAGAATTAATGGAACAATTTGGAAAACTATTCAACTTAAGGTTAAATCTAGAAACCTTGAAGTAAAACAATGGCAAGATGTTTTAATCGATTCTCTACATTCAATAAGATCCCTTTTGTGTACTGCGACTAATTCAACACCTCATGAACGCATGTTCAACCATCCTAGAAGATCGACTAATGGTACCTCAATGCCTACTTGGTTGAGCACCCCAGGCCCAGTTTTTCTAAAGAAACATGTTAGACATAGCAAATTTGATCCACTAGTAGAAGAAGTGGATCTTCTGGAAGCAAATTCAGATTATGCTCATGTACGATTATCCAATGGTAGAGAAATGACTGTATCAACTCGTCATTTAGCACCAAGGGGAGATGTGACACTGTCAGAACAAGATCAAAATACCATAACACTACCAGAACAAGATAAGAATGAATTAACTATTCCTGAAGAAAACCTTACATCAGTCAGTTCAGAACGTTTGTCATCTTCGTTCCCTTTGAATGATTCAAATTGCTCTCTTCCCCAAAATTCTGAACAATCACACAATGAAAATCCTCCAGTGAAACCTACTGATGAATCCAGTTGTGTTTTGGTAAAGAGAAATCATAGGCCACCTTCATATCTTCAAGATTATGTCACAAAATGAGCGAGGAAGAATGTTATATATTTCATTACTTTACTATTTACTGTGTTCCCTATATTTATGTACCTGTATGTTGTATGTCATGTTGTCAGTTATTGTCAGAAAATACTGTATTGAATTTTAGCTTATTAAAGCCTTAATTCTAAAGGTTCTTTTACTACACAGCAATCCTCCTTATCACCATAACTTGTCCTGTACTATAGGAGGAAAATTCAAAAATCTCATTCGAAGTAATTGAACCTGCAGATGGTATTTTAGTGTCATTGTTGGAAAACAGAAGCAAATATTGATTTTATATATGTTATACTCAAAGACCTTATAAAACTAGTTTTATGAGGTCTTTGGTTATACTGGATGTTATCATAAGTTTTTACTTGAGTAGACCCAAGGATATGAGCAGATGGGCTTCCAAAGTTTTTAGATTCGATAGTTTTTAATTTTTTTTTCAAAAACAGTGATGTGTCTGCTTTAAAACCTTCAAGCTCGGCTTCAAGTCTTTAATTCTAGAGGCTTTGAAGTTTTCAGACTTTAGTTTTATGTCTTGAGACTCGTTCAAAGATCTAACAAGAGGTTCTACAAAATCACCTGCGAAAACTTGCAACAGCTGTGGAGAAATTGATAAAACTTGTATTTAAATAAAAGTAGAGAGTTGTTGAGTTGAGTTCAAAATACAGAATTGAAAACTTTTCCAAACAACTGCAGACGAATTGTGTTTGCTTATGCTCAATTATCATAACTACTACAAAATTTTGGATCAGTTTACTTTCCAGAATCTACAATAATAAGATAGAGGCTTCTAAAAGTTTCCAGCTTTAAGAATCATTGAAGTACAAACTTAATTTACTTTAAGTAAAATGTCTGAAATTCTTCAAACTTCTCATTATTATTTGAAAATCTGTATGTTTAATATTAAAAATCATTGAGAATTATCCATTTACAAACTTCAGCATTTAGTCTTGTAAGGCCCAGTTTCACAATTGGTAGTAAACTGCACTGATTATCAAACTCA